CAAAACAAAAACAAAAATTCTACACTAGTAATAGAAACTGAAGGAAAACTTCTTATTAATTGATTAAAACTCTAGTGGCCAATAATAATAATAATAATAATAATAATCAAAACTCAAACTTCAAACAACAGGCTAGGATCCACAAGGAAAAAGATTGATACGTAACAACAAATTAAAAGGGACACATCCGTTACATTTTCTTTGTTTGGTGCAATTAATTAACTAAAATTAATTGATCACCCTGCAATTTTTCCTAATCTCACCACTGGACCCGGTGAGTGGCTTAATGTCTCCCATCTTGATCATGGCCTCCACAAAGTCCTCATAGAATTCCTCAGTATCATCGCTGTACTTTTTGACCAAGGAATCGGCAGATCCACCGTTGAAGAGTTCTTGGTCGGAGTGGAGGAGACCTTTTTGGCTTAGGAGGTTTTTGTAGTACTTGTTATCAAAAGCAGTGGGGGTTTGAAGGTCCAAAGGTGCGAGGTTATCGTCTCCGGAGCCAGTAGTGGATGGGCACTTGTCTTGTCTAGTCTTGGCAAATGAGCGATCAATGTTTGAATCCTTGTATATGCGATCTCTGAAAATTGTGCACCTTGCCTGCCCAATTGTATGTGCCCCTATGTACATGTACGAATTATATCATATGTTAATAATTATAATTAGATTCTTTATAATTACGGCGCAATAAGCCAGCTGAGCAAATTATTAAAGTTACAATATACTACTATATATATGTACATACCAGATAAAGCAACCATGTCCTTGGCTGAGAGACCCTGAGCTTGGAATCTGGCGATGAGGTTACTAAGGGTAGAGGAAGGAGGAGGGATCACTCCACTGTTGGCAGCCAAAAAGCTGGCTGTCTTTGAGTCTCTTCTTCCAAGTTTAACATCCCAACTGGGTCCGCCAAGCTGCAAAAAATTAATATATTAGCAACATATTGCAATATTAGAATATTGATGATTAATTTCATTTCATCAATTATAAATGTTGTCAACTAATTTGGACATGATCAACTTACAGTGACAACGGAGTCTCGTGCTGTGATGGCCAAAATATCAGCGCAGGAAACAACACCAGGGCAAACGTGCTCCACCTTGGACTTGATTTGGTCAATAACTTCAAATCCTCTTACGGAATGATTGTTGGGACCTGCTGTTTTCTCCCCTCTGAGAGAAGATGTGTCGTCTAGAAGTATCGACCCATCACATCCCTGCGGTGCACCCAACCATATACCATTACATTAATTAGCTAGTCATGCATTAGCCCCCATTTAGCTATAGCCTGCAAAGATATATATATATATATATATATATATATATGCATGGAACTTAAAGATCGAAGAAGAGAATTACATTGACAAAACAGTCATGAAAGAACAAGCGTAGGAGAGAAGCGCCCATGCGGCGCTCTTTGTACACTGCAGATTCAACTACAGATTTGATGGTGGGGAAGACCTTTGGACATGTTTTAGAATAGAAATTTTTGGAGAGCTGAGCACTTGTGCTCCCTGTGAACACCACAAGTAGTACCATGATCGTGGTGACCACAATAGAAGAAGAAGAAGAAGAAGAAGAAGAAGAAGCCATATATTCTTAATTTATTTGATGACAGAGAGTTAATTTAAATTGGAGAGTGTGTTGGGAACCTGCATGGTCCTCCTGTGTGTTGTATATATAGGGCAAATCCAGGCATTTGGCCCCGGCGGATTACCTAATCCCATTGACTAGTACTTGTCTAGAACATAAAGAAACAGCCAGCAATTCGGACCTTATGTATTATTGACTGACTGATTCATTAATTGATAAGGGATAAGGCACGCCCACAGTCCAGAAACACGTATTCGTCAAATGAACTGGTCAAACCAAAACAAATGTACTTTTTTTTTTAATAGTTTATAATTTGAGGAATTGGAGACCCAAACACTATAAAATTTAAAAACAATCACTTGAACCTGAAATTCCGTTCCAAAACATATATTCATCAATCATCAATGTAGCGGCATTACAAATTTTCAAAATGATGGGATCCATTAACGAAAAAGTCTA